TGAGATTGTGCCACTGCACTCCAGCCTAGTGCCTGGTGACAGAGTGAGACTCTGTCTCAAAAAAAAAAAAAAAGTTTTGTATTTTAGTAGAGACTGGGTTTCACCATGTTGGCCAGGATGGTCTCAATCTCTTGACCTCGTGATCCGCCTAGCTCAGCCTCCCAAAGTGCTCGGATTACAGGCGTGAGCCACCATGCCTGACCCAACAAACTGATTTTTTAAAAGTTCAAACATATTTAGGAATGGGAAATCAATATATGCCTACTTATACAGAACTGGGACATACCTGACTTTAAGATTAGTGGTTCAGCTGTCTCATCAAAAAAAAAAAAAAAAAAAAAAGATCAGTGGTGTCTGAATGGGATGAACCAGTAAAAGTAGGCCTATTTTCCTTAAACTTTCTTTTTTTTTTTTTTTTTCTTTCCCTTTTTAAGACAGAGACTTGCTCTGTCGCCCAGGTTGGAGTGCAGTGGCATGATCTCAGCTCATTGCAACCTCCGCCTCCTGGGTTCAGGCAATTTTCCTGCCTCAGCCTCTTGGCTAGGTGCAGTGGCTCAGGCCTGTAATCCTAGCACTTTGGGAGGCTGAGGGGGGCAGATCATTTGAGGTCAGCAGTTCGAGACCAGCCTGGCCAACACGGTGAAACCCTGTGTTTATTAAAAATACAAAAATTAGGCCAGGCGCGGTGGCTCAAGCCTGTAATCCCAGCACTTTGGGAGGCCGAGGCGGGTGGATCACAAGGTCGAGAGATCGAGACCAACCTGGTCAACATGGTGAAACCCCGTCTCTACTAAAAATACAAAAAATTAGCTGGGCATGGTGGCGCGTGCCTATAATCCCAGCTACTCAGGAGGCTGAGGCAGGAGAATTGCCTGAACCCAGGAGGCGGAGGTTGCGGTGAGTCGAGATCACGCCATTGCACTCCAGCCTGGGTAACAAGAGCGAAACTCCTCTCAAAAAAAAACCAAAAAACAAAAAAACAAAAATTAGGCCGGGCGCGGTGGCTCAAGCCTGTAATCCCAGCACTTTGGGAGGCCGAGGCGGGTGGATCACGAGGTCAAGAGATCGAGACCATCCTGGTCAACATAGTGAAACCCCGTCTCTACTAAAAATACAAAAATTAGCTGGGCATGGTGGCACACGCCTGTAGTCCCAGCTACTAGGGAGGCTGAGGCAGGAGAATTGCTTGAACCCAGGAGGCGGAGGTTGCGGTGAGCCGAGATCGTGCCATTGCACTCCAGCCTGGGTAACAAGAGCGAAACCCCATCTCAAAACAAACAAACAAACAAACAAAAACCCCAAAATTAAAATAAACAAATAAAAATTAAAAATACCCAGCTACTCAGGAGGCTGAGGCAGCAGAATTGCCTGAACCCAGGAGGCGGAGGTTGCGGTGAGCCGAGATCGCGCCATTGCACTCCAGCCTGGGTAACAAGAGCGAAACTCCGTCTCAAAAAAAAAAAAAAAAAAAAAAATTAAAAATAAAATACAAAAATTAGTCGGTGTGGTGGCATGTGCCTGTAATCACAGCTGCTCTGGAGGCTAAGGCAGGAGAATCACTTGAACCTGGGAGGTGGAGGTTGCGGTGAGCTGAGATCTCACCACTGCACTCCAGCCTGGGCAAGAGAGCAAGACTCATCTCAAAAAAAATAAAAAGGTCTCTCTTGTTATTTTCTGTCTCGGCACCCAGTTTGCTTCCTGTGTAGCAAGGCACTTGTGCAATTTGTAACTAAGTATTTGCTTATGTATTTATTTTTAATGTCTTTCCCATTAGTTAACTCCATGATAGCAAAGAACATCTTTGTTTATTATATCAACCTCATTTACCTTAACATGTTGACTAGCATGGAGCAGACACTCAATAAACATCTGCTGAATGAATGAAATGATTCCTGGCCTGGAGCAGTGGCTCACACTTGTAATCCCAGCACTTTGGGAATCCGAAACGGGTAGATCACGAGGTCAGGAGTTCGAGACCAGCCTGGCCAATATGGTGAAACCCTATGCCTACTAAAAATACAAAACTTAGCTGAGTGTGGTAGCGCGCACCTGTAATCCAAGCTACTAGGGAGGCTGAGACAGGGAGATAGAGGTTGCAGTAAGCCAAGATCGCACCACTGCACTCACTCCAGCCTAAGCGACAGAGCAATACTTCATCTCAAAAAAAAAAAAAAAAAAAAAGAAGAAGAAAAGAAATAATGATTCTTAAGGCTCCTTTCAGCTATTACCCAATAATTATTAGGTAATAGGAAAAAAATATACATTGTAAAAGGGTAGGCTTTTACTTGGGGTCTAGGATATATCTGATTCTTCACCATGATAAAAAAAAAAAAAAAAAAAAAAAAAAAAAAAAACACAACTAAATGGCTCCATTCCAAGAAGTTTAGTTAGAACTTGACTGATGTAATCTATTAATGAGTAACAGCTTCCTCAGTGACTTTGTAAGTTTTGCTTTCAGATATGCCTTACTCATTTTAACAACTGGTTATCTAGGCCCAAACCCCTGTCAAATAATGGGTTGGCTACATAAGAATTAGTGAGAAGCTCATTAAAAAAATAGATTTTTTGGTGGGGAATGGTGGCTCAAGCCTGTAATCGCAGCACTTTGGGAGGCCGAGTCGGGTGGATCACAAGGTCCGGAGTTCAAGACGAGACTGGTCAACGTGGTGAAACCCCGTCTCTACTAAAAATACAAAAATTAGCTGGGCGTGGTGGCTCGTGCCTATAATCCCAGCTACTTGGGAGGCTGAGGTAGGAGAACTGCTTGAACCGGGACCGGGAGGTGGAGGCTGCTGTGAACCAAGATGGCACCACTGCACTCCAGGCTGGGCTACAGAGCAAGACTCCATCTCAAAAAATATATATATAGATAGATAGATAGACAGAGATAGATAGATAGATATAGATATAGATTTTTGGACCAAAATGCCAGGAGATTCTGATTTAGTATTTGTGAAGTAAAGCTCTAGAATCCATGTAATTAAAACTTTTCTCATTTTCAATAGATAGTCTGTGCATGTAATACACAGTTCCAGAGGTAAGAAGCAGTTTATAGCAAAGTTTCTCTTCTACTCCTGTCCCCCTGGCATCGAGTTCCCCTTTCCATAAGTTACTGCTGCTACCAATTTCTTGTGTATCCTTATGGGTAATTATTTGCCTAAGCAAGCACATATATATCCTTTGATTTGCATATTTAAAGAGCTGTTCTAACCTTGTCTTTTTGAATCTCATTTAACAATATACGTTAGAAATGAAGGTATCTGCATTTTTTTTTTTTTTTGAGACGGAGTTTCGCTCTTGTTACCCAGGCTGGAGTGCAATGGCGCGATCTCGGCTCACCGCAACCTCCGCCTCCTGGGTTCAGGCAATTCTCCTGCCTCAGCCTCCTGAGTAGCTAGGATTACAGGCACGTGCCACCATGCCCAGCTAACTTTTTGTATTTTTAGTAGAGACGGGGTTTCACCATGTTGACCAGGATGGTCTCGATCTCTCAACCTCGTGATCCACCCGCCTCGGCCTCCCAAAGTGCTGGGATTACAGGCTTGAGCCACCGCGCCCGGCATGGTATCTGCATTTTTAACAGGCACCCTAGATGATTTTGATGTGAAGCCAAATACAGAAACCACTCATGGGCCCACGGTTGTGAAATTAAGTTCGATTAACTATGACATACTAGAAACTCAAGGATATTGAAAGATGCCCTCAAAAGTAGCCTGGCTTACTTGACCTCTGCCCCCTGGTTTCACAGAGATGAACTAAATCATTCACCATTGTCTCCACAGAAGCCAGGAAAAACTAGCCATTCAAATGGATGTTGTCAAAGCTTCAATTTTCAATTATTGGAATTCTTTCCTGTTGATGATTACCCGAAATTACAAACCTGATAATTCCTATGTTACTGAAGGCATTCCTCTATTTAAGTTGGAATGAGGTTTGATGGTCACTGAATGAGGGCTGATTTAATGGAGCACAACCGAAAGGCTTTCCTTACTAATCCTTATTGACACAACCTCATCCAACTCTCCCCCAAAACTGCTTTCTTGCCATTTGAAACTGTGGGGAGAAGACTGCTTGATGAATTCTGGAGTTCCAGGCTTCTGTAGTCCTGATTTGACATACCTGGGGGCGATGGCTATCTCACCCATCCCACCTAACCCCGGGACTGCAAAGGGAGTTTCCTTTTGGCACTTAGGCAAGGTTCTCCGAGGGCCACCCCACCTCCGCAGTGTCTCTGTCACCACGAGGGGCACCGCGCGGAAAGCATCCTCATCTTCCCGACACCGCGCCAAGGAGGCAGGAGTGCACCGGACTCCCGGAGCGAGAGAGGGAACCCGCCGGGATCCAGCGCTGGTTTATCCCATACCCGCGTCGAAGGGGCTTTCGAGGGCTCGGTTTCTGCCCGAGCCCCCTGCAAGGGGGAGGCGTGACTCCTCCATCCCTTCCTCCTGGATTCAAACGTTAGGATGGTATCTGCGGGGCTAAAACGGCCCAAACCTCAGACCACTCTCTTCTCCACTCGGGCTTTTCTAATATTCTCTGGGCCATGTGTCTCCCCACCTCGGCCAGCCGCCACCGTCTGGCCTGGCTCCCGCCCTCCCGCCCACCTGGCCCCTTCCCCCTCACCCAGCATGATGGGGCTGAGCCGCCGGGCCAGGCCCTTGGACAGGTCGTACACGTAGAGCTTCACCGGATAGAGATTCGGCGGCTCCATTCGGACCCGTGGCGACGGCGGCCACGACGGCCCTCGGGCACCCGGCAGCGGCTTGGACCTTCCCGTACCCGACCGGGGTGGGAAGCGGAGGGAGGAGAAGGCCCGAGCCCAGGCCCGGCCAGAGGGACGGGAGAGAGGCCGCCCTGAGCTGCTCGCGCCTCCACACCCGCTACCGGCAAAGACTACTGTGAGGTGACAGAGAGGGACAGGGAGGGTCCATACGAAAGAGGGGGAGGGGACAGGGATAGGGACGCATTTCAGCGCATGTGCGTACAGTCCTGACGCGAGCGGGGGCGGGGCTCCGCTGGTGGGTGGGCTTTCGTCGGTGACGTAATTAGAAGCTGGTTGGGGAGTGTGCGAGCTAGGCCGACGCTAAGCAGTGCGTACATGCGTGATGACGTAGGGAGCGTCGATTGGGAGAGAGAACTGGGCCCGCGCCTGCGTGCATTCTCGTCTTCTGTCCAAGTTGGTCGCTTCCCTGCGCCAAAGGTAAGCGGGCCGTTATCCGTTTGTGTTGTTCGCCATCTAGGCCTGGCCTCGTCCCGCTTCGCCCACTCGGATTTGCGCGCCCCTATAGCCTTGCCGGTGAGTTAGCGTTACCCGTAAGAGTGCGACTCCGAAGTGTGTAGACAGACTCGTGACCACGCTCCTTCCTCTCGAAGGAGGCGGCACCTCGCGTTTGAGGCCTGCCTGCGTTTGAGGCCCGTCTGCATTTGAGACCTCAATTGGGTGTGATTGTCTGAGGGATTTGGGGAGGTTTTTGGTCGGTATTGAGGACGAGGGGGTTCGTTAGAGAGCACAGAATCCCGGAGCGGGAATCCCTCACCGTCCAAATGGCGCCGGGGGCGGGACCTCCGGGATCGGGCCGCCGCGGGCCCTGAAACGTGAGGGATAATTGAGATGAGGCTGCTACCGAGATGGCCCCCAGGCGCCTTTACCAATGCAGTCCGACTGCTGAGCTCTCGAGGTAGCAGTATCCATCGTCCCCATTCCTCACTACTAACCAAGCCTTTAGAACAGATCTCACGGTCGGGCGCGGTGGCTCGGGCTTGGAATCCCAGCACTTTGGGAGGCCGAGGCGGGTGGATCATGAGGTCAAGAGATCGAGACCATCCTGGCCAACATGGTGAAACCCCGTCTCTACTAAAAATACAAAAATTAGCTGGGCATAGTGGCGCGTGCCTGTAGTCCCAGCTACTCGGGAGGATGAGGCAGGAGAATCGTTTAAATTCTGGAGGCGGAGGTTGCAGTTAGCCGAAATCACTCCACTGCACTCCAGCCTGGTGACAGCGAGACTCTGTCTCAAAAAAACAAAACAAGAAAAAACATCTCATGAGAACCTAGAGGTCGGTATTTTTTTAGTTTAAATTTTCCTGTTACTGACTTTAACATCTTTCGCCTAGTGAGCAGTAGCCAACATGTCAGGGTGGGAGTCCTATTACAAAACCGAGGGCGATGAAGAAGCAGAAGAACAAGAAGAGGAGAACCTTGAAGCAAGTGGTAAGTGACTTGAGCATGTAGTGCCATTCTATGTATGGAAGAAAGACCTTCCCTGCCTGTCTCTGCTGGCTGGACTTTGCTGTTTCATGGCCTACCGTTCTCTTCCCAGATAATCTGAAATTCTTTTCTTCCTTTGAACTTTGCAGAGCTACCACTAGTCTCTTCTATTTAGATCCTACTCTAGTCTGCCCTAAGTTTTTTCTGGACACTGGTAGTTCGACACTTCTCATCCAGGAAAGTAGTCTTACCATTCCAGGATCTCAGTGTAAAAATGCCCCCACCCTGCAATAACTACCCCAACCAAAGAAACGCAAGTAACACAGTTACAGGAGAGTGATTAATTCCCTCATGGTAGCCTCCATATTCAGGCAACACAGTAACACATAGACCAGAGGAAGAGAAATAAGGGGTATATGTAATCTTCATACTGGTTAATTTCACTCCTGGGTAGAAAAATTTTAAATGCCTTTATTAAAAGTGAGAAAGATATAGTAAATATAAAAAAGAAAAAAAAATTACTGTAATCTGTATAATCTACCATCCTAACCAGCCACTACCAGGATTTTGACATTTTTGTATTTTTCCTTCAGGTATCTTTAAATCTTTATTTCCTAATGAAATATATATGTGTTTTTCTTTGTATCTGTTTTTTAATTTTTTAGTAGAGACAGTCTGGAGTGCAGTGGTGAGATCATCATAGTTCCCTGTAACCTCAAACTCCTGGGCTCAAGTGATCCTCCTGCTTCAGCTTCCTCAGTAGCTGGGACTACAAGTGTGTGCCACCAAGTCCCAATAATTTTTTTTTTTTTTTTTTAGACAGAGTTTCGCTCTTGTTACCCAGGCTGGAGTGCAATGGCGCGATCTTGGCTCATCGCAACGTCTACCTCCTGGGTTCAGGCAATTCTCCTGCCTCAGCCTCCTGAGTAGCTGGAATTACAGGCACGCGCCACCATGCCCAGCTAGCTTTTTGTATTTTTAGTAGAGACGGGGTTTCACCACGTTGACCAGGATGGTCTCGATCTGTTGACCTCGTGATCCACCCGCCTCGGCCTCCCAAAGTGCTGGGATTACAGGCGTGAGCCACCGCGCCCCCCCAATAATTTTTTTATTTTTTTTTTTGAGACAGGGTTTTGCTATGTTGACCAGGCTGGTATCAAACTCCTGGCCTCAAGTGATTCCCCCGAGCCATAGTCTCCCAAAGTTCTAGGTTTACAGTCATAAGCCTCCATGCCCAGCCTCTATCTGATTTCTTGTATTGTTGTAATGATAGTGCATAAACATTTTTTTCCATTTTAATTTACACCAGTTTTCCAAAAATAATTTTAAACATATGTACATAATTTTGTGTTTTGTCTTTGTTATTCTTTATCATGGATATATCTTTCCATGCAACTATATATATTTATTTAGCTTTTATAAATAATTTATTGAGACAGAGTCCTGCTCTGTCGCCAGGCTGGAGTGCACTGGCTCAGTCTCGGCTCATGGTGGCTCAATAGCCACCACCCCAGTTCAAGCTATTCTCCCACCTCGGCCTCCCAAGCTGCTGGGACTATAGCCACTGTGCCTGGCCTATAGCTCATTTTAAATGTACCATAATTTGGACAGGTGTGGTGGCTCATGCCTGTAATCCCAACACTTTGGGAGGGCGAGGCAGGCGGATCTTCTGAGGTCTGGAGTTCAAGACCACTGTGGCCAATGTGGCAAAACCCTGTGTCTACTAAAAATACAAAAACTAGCCTGGTTGCTGATGCACACCTGCAGTCCCAGCTACTCAGAGGCTGAGGGAAGAGAATCATTTGAACCTGGGAGGTGGAGGCTACAGTGAGCTGAGATTGTGCCACTACACTCCAGCCTGAGCAACAGAGTGAGACCTTGTCTCAAAAACATAAAATAGGCCAGGTGCGGTGGCTCATACCTGTAATCCCAGAATCTTGGGAGGCTGAGGCAGGCAGATCACCTGAGGTCAGGAGTTCGAAACCATCCTGGCCAACATGGTGAAACCCCATCTCTACTAAAAATACAAAATTAGCCAGGTATGATGGTGCATACCTGTAATCCCAGCTACTCAGGAGGCTGAGGCAGGAGAATCGCTTGAACCTGGGAGGTGGAGGTTGCAGTGAGCCAAGATTGTCCCACTGCAGTCCAACATAGGTGACAAGAATGAAACTCTGTCTCAAAAAAATAAATAATAAAAACAAAAAAATAAATGAACCACAATTTACTTCTTCTACTTCCTGTTGAGCATTTTAGCTATTTCCAACTTTTTACTTTAATAAACAACATTGTGATAAGTTTTGCATAAAAGCTTTTCCTGGCAGGGGCATGGTGGCCCACCTGTAATCTCAGTATTTTGGGAGGCCGAGGCAGGCATATCACCTAAGGTCAGGAGTTCAAGGCCAGCCTGAACAACATGATGAAACCCTGTATGTACTAAAAATACAAAATTAGCAAACAAAAACAAAAACAAAACCACCTTGTCACTACTAAAAATAAAAAATTAGTTGGGTGTGGTGGTGTGTGCCTGTAGTCCCAGCTACTTGGGAGGCTGAGGAAGGAGAATTGCTTGAACCTGGGAGGCGGAGGTTGCAGTGAGCTGAGATAGCACCACTGCACTCCAGCCTGGGTGACATAGTGAAACTCTGTCTCAAAAAAAAAAAAAAAAAAAAAAAAAGAGAAACAAAAAGTCAGGATATTGACTTTTTTGGAGAGGTGGGTGTTGTGATTGGGAAGGAATTAGGTTATACTTTGCTTTATGGCCTTTGTTTGTTTTTTATGATAAACATAAATATGAATATGAGGACAAACATTTTCTTCCCTTTTTTTTTTTCCGTATAGGAGACTACAAATATTCAGGAAGAGATAGTTTGATTTTTTTGGTTGATGCCTCCAAGGCTATGTTTGAATCTCAAAGTGAAGATGAGTTGACTCCTTTTGACATGAGCATCCAGGTAAGACTACCTTTTCATTTAATTTAAGACAAATTTAAAAACAGTATTGGCTGGGCATAGTGGCTCATGCCTGTAATCTCAGGACTTTGGGAGGCCATGATGGGCAGATCACTTGAGCCTGGGAGTTTGAGACCAGCCTGGGTAACATGGAGTCACTCCATGTCTACAAAAAATACAAAATCAGCCAGGTATGGTGGTACACACCTGTATTCCTGGCTACTTGGGAGGCTGAGGCAGGAGTTCCTGCTTGAGCCCAGGAGTTCAAGGTTGCATACTCCAGCATAGGTTTCTTTTGTGTACTTCATAGAGAATAATTTTCACAGATTTGTTAATGTATCTCATGTCTCAAGTTTTGGAATTTGAAACTGAACAGAAACTTCTCGTTCTAATTTGCATACAAATAGTTTTTGTAGGCTGGGTGTGGTGGCTCATGCCTGTAATCTCAGCACTTTGGGAGGCAGAGGTGGGCGAATCACTTGAGGTCAGGAGTTTGAGGCCAGCCTGGCCAACATGGTGAAACTCTGTCTCTACTCAAAATACAAATTAGCCGGGTGTGTTAGTGCATGTCTGTACTCCCAGCTATTCTGGAGGCTGAGGTGGGAGAATCACTTGAACCTGGGAGGTGGAAGTTGCAGTGAGCCAAGATCACGCCCTACAGAGCAAGACTTCATCCCAAGAAAAAAAAAATACTTTTTGTAGTTGGCAAACCAAAATATCTTGCACCCAGAAAAAAAGAATAAGCTGGGTATGGTGTTGTGTACCTGTAATCCCAGCTACGTGGGAGGCTGAAGTAAGAGGATTGCTTGAGCCCAGGTGTTTGAGGCTGCACTGAGGTATGGCTGTGCCACTGAACCCTAGTCTGGCCAACAGAGCAAGACAATGTCTCTTTAAAATTGAAAAAAAAAGGCCGGGCGCGGTGGCTCAAGCCTGTAATCCCAGCACTTTGGGAGGCCAAGGGGGGTGGATCACGAGGTCAAGAGATCGAGACCATCCTGGTCAACATGGTGAAACCCCGTCTCTACTAAAAATACAAATTAGCTGGGCATGGTGGCGCGTGCCTGTAATCCCAGCTACTCGGGAGGCTGAGGCAGGAGAATTGCCTGAACCCAGGAGGTGGAGGTTGCGTTGAGCTGAGATTGCACCATTGCACTCCAGCCTGGGTAACAAGAGCGAAACTCTGTCTCAAAAAAAAAAAAAAGAATTAAAAAAAAAAAATTAAAAAAATTTGTGTGTGTAAAGTAAAATAATAGAACAATGAATAAAAACAATCAGCTGGGCTTCGTGGCTCACACCTGTAATCTCAGCACTTTTGGAGGCCAAGGTGAGCAGATCACAAGGTCAGGAGTTGGAGACCAGCTTGACCAACATGGTGAAACCCCGTCTCTACTAAAAATACAAAAATTACCTGGGCGTGGTGGCACACGCATGTAATCTCAGCTATTCGGGAGGCTGAGACAGGAGAATCGCCTGAACCGGGAAAGGGGAAGTTGCAGTGGAGCCCAGATCATTGCACTCCAGGCTGGGTGACAGAGTGAGACTCCGTCTCAAAAAAAAAAAAAAGGGAAGAAGCGGTTTTCAAACAGAATTACCTCCAGGGCGATATGACACAGACTACAGAACCTTGTCCCAGAATCAGAATTTCCGATTCTCTAGGTCTGGAGTGGGGACCAAGAATTTGCATTTCTAGTGGTTGTGAGGTGATGCCAGTGTTACTGATTTGGAGACCATCATTTTGAAGAGCAGTGCTTTAACCTTTTGGACCATGGACTTCTTTGAGGATATGATGTAAGCTACATTCCTTCCCTGAATAAAGATAGTACTCACAGTTCTATGTGTAATTTTGGAGAGTTAATGGAAACTTTGATGCCTAAAGACCTCAGAAGAAACTGTACTGTTAGGTAGCAAGGAAGTAAGATAGTCATAGATCAGCACAATTTGATCACCAATAATAAGTGTTAAGTAAGTGATAAGCAATAGAAAACATTTTCTGAAATTCTCTTTTAGTTTTCATGTTTTTAATTTTTAGAAACTAAAAGCCCTTACTAAACTGCTCAGAGTACATTAAAATATTTATGGAAATGACGTGCCTGCCATGTGGATTGTTGTCAATGACTAGCTCTAGTATACATTCTACATTTAAGGAGAGAATAACTGTGGACGAAGGCCAGCTAGAGGCTTAGGCAGGACATGAAGGGGATCACCATGGTTGGTTTATTCTTTGGCTTTGCAAGTTCCAAAACTTAATTAATTGTTTATTTATTTATTTATTTATTTTTTGAGGCAGGTCTCACTCTGTCACCTAGGCTGGAGTGCAGCGACATGATCTCTGCTCACTGCAGCCTTGACCTCCTGGGCTCAGGCGATCCTTCTGCCTCAGCACCCCGAGTAGCTGAGTAGCTGGGACTACAAGCATGTCCGTGCCTGACTCATTTTTGTTTTTTTTTGGTAGAGAAATTGTTTTGCCATGTCACCCAGGCTGGTCTTAAACTTCTGGAGCAATCCGCTGGTCTTGGCCTCCCAAAGGGCTGGGATTACAGGCATGAGCCACTGACCCCAAGACTTAATTTTGTTACTGCCCCAGAATTAAATAGGCCCCTAGAACTGACAACCTCCCCACTCCCTGCTCCCCGCCCTCCCCAGACGGAGTCTCCCTCTGTCACCCAGGCTGGAGTACAGTGGCATGATGTTGGCTCACTGCAACCTCCACCTCCCAGGTTCAAGTGATTCTCCTGTTTCAGCCTCCTGAATAGCTGGGATTAGAGGCGCACGCCACCACACCTGCCTGATTTTTTATTTTTAGTAGAGACAGGGTTTCACCATGTTGATCAGGCTGGTCTCAAACTCCTGATCTCTTGATCTGCCTGCCTCAGCCTCCCAGAGTGCTGGGACTGATTACAGGTGTGAGCCACTGCACCCAGCTGAACTGATGAACTCTTACAAGACCTGATTTACCAGATACTGACATTAGTTTATATAGAGAGGGATAAAGCTTGCTTGTAACTGGAATACTGATGTCTTTAACTGTGTAGTTAAGCAGTTTTATTTCAAGGATGCTCTTACTAGTTATTGACTTACTTTCAGGTCATATATACTGAAGCGTGGTAGTTATTTTATATAGTCATCGCTTGTTATGGAGGGGATTGGTTCCAGGACTTCCCTTGGATTCCAAAATCTGAGGATGCCCAAGTGCATTAAAATGGCATAGTATTTGCATATAACCTACACACATCCTATCCTATACTTGAAATCATCTCTAGGTTACTCATAGTACCTAATACGATGCCTATGCATCACATCATGCACATGGGTTCAGTGTAGTACTTGGTGCATGGCAAATTCAGGTTTTTCCTTTTTTTTTGTTTTCTTAAGAGGGGTGGCCACCTTTCCAGCCGCACCCCATTTCCCAGGACGAGGAGCCTTTTGAAACTTTGTGGAATTTTTTTGTTTTTCCTGAATATTTAAGATTTGAGGTTGGTTCAGTCCATAGATGCAGAATCAGCAGATATGGAGGGTCAACTGTTTATGTAAACTGTTTCTTGATATCAGGGTACTTGAAAGATCACATGACCTGTCCATATTCAGCCAGTTAAGTAAGTGAAATCAGCAGGACTCGACTCCAGATTTTCTGATTCCAATCCTTGGCTTTCCCCCAACTCCCATAGCACACTTTCCTCCCTGTTAATAATATGCGTTTTTCTTTTTGTTCTTGAGACAGGGTCTCTATTGCCCAGGGTGGGCTGTAGTGGTGTAGTCTCTGCTCACTGCAGCCTTCGCCTCCTGGACTGAAACGATCCTCCCACCTCTGCTCCTCAAGTAACTGGGACCCTGTGCCACCATGCCCAGCTAATTTTTTTGTTTTTTGTTTTGTAGAAAGCTGTAGAGTCTCACTATGTTGTTCAGGCTGGTCTCAAACTCCTGGGCTCAAGTGATTCTCCCACCTTGGCTTTCCAGAGTGCTAGGATTACTACAGATGTGAGCCATTGTGTCTGGCCTGAATATACATATTACTAATTTTCTGATTTCATGGCAGGGACTGCTTATACTTCTGTATACTTACTGCGTTCTGGTTTTTGTTAAAACTTAATATTTATGGGCATTACTCTCACTGATTCATTGCCCCTGAAGGTAGGGGTCATGCCTTATTTTAGTGCCATATGCAAATTCAGCAAACATATTTTGAGCAACTAATGGGATACCGAGCACTTACGGAGCTTACATTTCATTTTTTCAGTGTATCCAAAGTGTGTACATCAGTAAGATCATAAGCAGTGATCGAGATCTCTTGGCAGTGGTGTTCTATGGTACTGAGAAAGACAAAAATTCAGTGAATTTTAAAAATATTTACGTCTTACAGGAGTTGGATAATCCAGGTCAGTAATATTCTTTTCTCTTATGTATGAGAATGTCAGTACTCTGAACAAAGAGGACTGTGGAGAAGGAAACAGGTTACATCTTATCTAGGAGTATGCTTTCCTGCATTAAGGGGACCTTGCTTGATGTGGACTTTGTAAAATGGGTTAAACAGCTCTGGGGTGAGAAAGGGTCCTTTTTTAGCCTTGTGGTAAAGGCAGCCACTGACATTCTTCTGATTTTTTTCCTTCCATTTGACTCCCTGCCACTGATAAGGTGCAAAACGAATTCTAGAGCTTGACCAGTTTAAAGGGCAGCAGGGCCAGAAACGTTTCCAAGAGCTGATGGGCCACGGATCTGACTACTCACTCAGTGAAGTGCTGTGGGTCTGTGCCAACCTGTTTAGTGATGTCCAGTTCAAGATGAGTCATAAGAGGATCATGCTTTTCACCAATGAAGACAACCCCCACGGCAATGACAGTGCCAAAGCCAGTCGGGCCAGGACCAAAGCCGGTGATCTCCGAGATACAGGTGGGTGTATTCCCCGTTCTCTTAAATTGGGACTTAATTCCTTTTTTTTTTTTTTTTTTTTTAAGAGATGAGGTCAGGCTGGAATGCTGTGGTTATTCACAGGTGCAATCATAGCAAACTCTAGCCTCAAACTCTTGGATTCAAAGGAGTTCAGGCGTCTGGCCTCAGCCTCCCAAGTAGCTGGGACTATAGGCATGTGCCTTTGTGCCCAGTGCAGTTTTACTGCTTTCTGTGTACCTGATGTCAAGCATTTGCTTTTTACCATTCAGAGTAAATGACAAAATAAAGTGAAGCCAGGAGAAGATACCTGTGTAACATAAACACTCAAATGGCCATGCCATTAGCTATCCAAAGGACTCTGTCAGAACAGGATTGTCTTGATTTTTTTCTTTTTCTCTTTTTTTTTTGAGACGGAGTTTCGCTCTTGTTACCCAGGCTGGAGTGCAATGGCACTATCTCGGCTCACCGCAACCTCCGCCTCCTGGGTTCAGGCAATTCTCCGGCCTCAGCCTCCTAAGTAGCTGGGATTACAGGCACGTGCCACCATGCCCAGCTAATTTTTTGTATTTTTAGTAGAAACGGGGTTTCACCATGTTAACCAGGATGGTCTTGATCTCTTGACCTCGTGATCCACCCACCTCGGCCTCCCAAAGTGCTGGGATTACAGGCTTGAGCCACTGCGCCTGGCCCTTTTTTTGTTTTTTTTTTTGAGACGGAGTCTCACTCTGTCGCCCAGGCTGGGGTGTGATGGAACAATCTTGGTTCACTGCAACCTCCGCCTCCTGGGTTCAAGCAATTCTCCTGCTTAGGCTACAAGCCTCCTGAGTAGCTAGAATTACAGGCATGAGCCGCCATGCCCAGCTAATTTTTTATTTTTACTAGAGGTAGGGTTTCACCAATGTTGGCCAGGTTGGTCTTGAACTCCAGACCTCAGATGATCCACCCACCTTGCCATCCCAAAGTACTGGGATTACAGATGTGAGCCGCTGTGCCCCGCCGATTGTCTTGACTTTAATATTACTATGAATGATGATTATTTGAATAAGTTGTCTAAAGTCACTATAGCAGCTGATTTCCTTGGCCATTTTCTCTGGGTCCTGAAAATGTTAATAGTCTAGTTTTCAGGGAGCTTTCAGAAGCATATTTCATTTTAACTGGAAGAGCTTCTAACTTGCTGAACATTGTTTTTCCATCCCTCACTTTCGTTTGTCCTTGCAACAGGCATCTTCCTTGACTTGATGCACCTGAAGAAACCTGGGGGCTTTGACATATCCTTGTTCTACAGAGATATTATCAGCATAGCAGAGGATGAGGACCTCAGGGTTCACTTTGAGGAATCCAGCAAGCTAGAAGACCTGTTGCGGAAGGTTCGCGCCAAGGAGACCAGGAAGCGAGCACTTAGCAGGTATGCACTCAGCCCGGGTCAGCTACCTATATGGCCTTTAAATCAGAAATGGGCTGGGCACGGTGGCTTATGCCCATAATCCCAGCACTTTGGGAAGACAAGGCAGGCAGATCGCTTGAGTCTAGGAGTTGGAGACCAGCATGGCGAGACCTTGTCTCTACTTAAGAAAAAAAAAATCAGAAGCAGTGAATTTGCTGCACATCCCTTAAACCAAAAGCAATGCATTGCTTTGACCTGCCTGGCTACTTAACTCTGGACTGTGCCATTGCCTCACTGTATTCTTTTAAAACATTTGCTTTATTTCAGGATAGCAGAAGCTATTTGCTGCTTTATCTCTGGCAAGAGCTAATATATTTCTCCAAAATAACACAGCCCTCCATTTCCCAGGGGTAGACAGTTGTGGTTTAAGAGAATCCTCAGCTGTGCTAACTAATACAGTTATGTGTTAATTAATGATGGGGATACCTTCTTAGAAATACGTCATTAGGCAGTTTTGTCATTGCACAAACACAGAGTGTACTTAACGCACCCAGGGAGTACAGCCTACTGCACACCTGGGCTGTGTGGTTTAGCCTGTTACTCCTAGGCCGTAAACCTGTATAGCATATTACTGTACTGTTTACTGTAGTCAGTGTAAGTATTTTTGTATATAAATGTATCTACATGTATGGAAAAGGTACAATAAAAATACGGTATAGGCTGGGTGCAGTGGTTCACACCTGTAATCCCAGCACTTTGGGAGGCCAGTGTGGGTAAATCATGAGGTCAGGAGTTTGAGACCAGCCTAGCCGACATGGTGAAAACCCGTCTCTACTAAAAACACAAAAAATTAGTTGGGTATGGTGGCGCATGCCTGTAATCCCAGCTACTCAGGAGGCTGAGGCAAGGAGAATTGCTTGAACCTGGGAGGCGGAGGTTGCAGTGAGCCTAGATCACAATACTGCACTCCAGCCTGGGCGACAGTGCGAGACTCTGTCTTGGGGAAAAAAAAAAAACAGAAGAAGAAAAGAAAAGCAGAGACAAGACAACCAGTACAGTACTTAAACAGGGTTATTATAATGATTAAGTGAGAGAATAGCTATGAGGTGATTAGGTATAATGCTGTGCTCAATACAAATTATCATTTTATTATACAAGTTGAGTATTTCTTATCTTATTATATTTTTGAGACGGAGTTTCATTCCAGGTTGAAGTGCAAAGGTGCGATCTTGGCTCATTGCAACCTCCACCTCCTGGGTTCTAGCAATTCTGCCTTGGCCTCCCGAGTAGCTGAGATTATAGGCACGTACAACCATGCCCAGCTAATCTTGTATTTTTAATAGAGATGGGGTTTCACCATGTTGGTCAGGCTGGTCTTGAACTTACCTCAGGTGATCCACCAGCCTCAGCCTCCCAAAGTGCTGGGATTACAGGCGTGAGCCACCGTGCCCATAAGGTTGAGTGTTTCTAATCTGAAAATCCAAAATGAGAAATGCTGTACAATCTGAAACTTTTTGAGCACCGACTCAAAGGAAATGTTTACTGAAGTATTATGGATGTCAGATTTTTGGGTTAGGAGTGCTCAACCATTAAGTACTATAAAATGCAAATATTCCCCCCCAAAAATCTGAAGGTGAGGTGTGTTGGCTCTTGCCTGTAATCCCAGCACTTTGGGAGGCCAAGTTGGACAGATCACCTGACATCAGGAGTCTGAGACCAGCTTGACCAACGTAGAGAAACCCCATCCCTACTAAAAACACAAAATTAGCAGGGTGTGGTGGCGTGTGCCAGTAATCTCAGCTACTTGGGAGGTTGAGACAGGAGAATCACTTGAACCCTAGAGGCAGATGTTGGGGTGAGCCAAGATCGCATCATTGCACTCCGGCCTGCACAACCAGAGGGAAACTTCATCTCAAAAAAAAAATCTGAAACACTTCTGGTCCTAAGCAATCATTTTTTGAAAGGATACTCAACAGGTAGTACATTCTTTATCATTCTTTTAAGTAGTTAATGTATTGTGGCATAGATCCTGAGATGGTATTACAGCAAATTGAATTGTATTTTTTTTGTTGTTATTCTTTTTTTTTTTTTTAATTTTTTTCTTTACCTACAACAATCATCTTAGAACAACTCATCTATTTTTAAGACGCAGAGTCTTGCTATGTTGCCCAGGCTGGAGTGCGTAGGCTATTCACAGGCACGATCCCACTACTGATCAGCCTGGGAGTTTTGACCTGCTCCATTTCTGACCTGGGCCGGTCCACCCCTCCTTAAGCAACCTGGTGGTCCCCTGCTCTCAGGAGGTTACCATATTGATGCTGAACTTAGTGCTGACACCCGATTGGCATAGCGCACTACAGCCCAGAACTCCTGGGCTCAAGTGATCCTCCCACCTCAGCCTCCTGAGTAGCTGGGACTATAGGCATGAGCCACTGTGCCTGGCTGGTTTTTTTGGTGGGGGAGGTGGAGTGAGATGGAGTTTCACTCTTGTTGCCCAGGCTGGAGTGCAATGGAGCAGTCTCCCTCACTGCAAGCTCCACCTCCTGGGTTCAGGCAATTCCATCTGAGAAGCTGGGATTACAGGCATGTGTCACCACACTCGGCTAATTTTGTATTTTTAGTAGAGACGGGGTTTCTCCTTGTTGGTCAGGCTGGTCTTGAACTCCTGACCTCAGGTGATCCGCCTGGCTTGGCCTCTGAAAGTGCTGGGATTACAGGTGTGAGCCACCACACCTGGCCCAATTGTATTGTTAAAAAGCATATTTGTATTTTTAGAGCTTGCTTAGGATCATTGGAGAGAAGAAAATAGTGAAGCTTGGGTTTTGTGAGGGAATTTTTGATAGAAAGGTACAGTCTTTCACTTCATGCTCTTTCATTTTTCACTCCCTCAGGTTAAAGCTGAAGCTCAACAAAGATATAGTGATCTCTGTTGGCATTTATAATCTGGTCCAGAAGGCTCTCAAGCCTCCTCCAATAAAGCTCTATCGGGAAACAAATGAACCAGTGAAAACCAAGACCCGGACATTTAATACAAGTACAGGCGGTTTGCTTCTGCCTAGCGATACCAAGAGGTCGCAGGTAGGTAGAGATACCTTTTGTTGTTTTTTAGACAGGGTTTCATTGTGTCTCCCAGGCTGCAGTGCTGTGGGGCAAACACGACTCACTACAGCCTTGTGTTCTTGGACTCAAGTGATCCTCCTGTCTCAGCCCACCAAGTAGCTGGGATGAAACCACACCCAGCTAATTTATTTATTATTATTATTATTTTTTTTTTTCGAGAAGGAGTTTCACTGTTGTTACCCAGGCTGGAGTGCAATGGTGCAATCTCGGCTCACTGCAACCTCTGCCTCCTGGGTTCAGGCAGTTCTCCTGCCTCAGCCTCCTAAGTAGCTGGGATTACAGGCACGTGCCACCACGACCAGCTAATTTTTTTTTTTTTTTTTTTTTTTTGAGACGGAGTTTCGCTCTTGTTACCCAGGCTGGAGTGCAATGGCGCGATCTCGGCTCACCTCAACCTCCGCCTCCTGGGTTCAGGCAATTCTCCTGCCTCAGCCTCCTGAGTAGCTGGGATTAGAGGCACGCGCCACCATGCCCAGGTAATTTTTAGTATTTTTAGTAGAGACAGGGTTTCACCATGTTGACCAGGATGGTCTCGATCTCTTAACCTCGTGATCCACCCGCCTTGGCCTCCCAAAGTGCTGGGAATACAGGCTTGAGCCACCGCGCCCGGCCCCCAGCTAATTTTTTTTGTATTTTTAGTAGAGACGGGGTTTCACCATGTTGACCAGGAGGGTCTCAATCTCTTGACCTCGTGATCCACCTGCCTCGGCCTCTCAAAGTGCTGGGATTACAGGCTTGAGCCACCGCGCCCGGCCTTATTATTATTTTTTAAGAGACGGGTCAGCCAAGCACAGTGGCTCATGCTTATAATCCCAGCACTTTGGGAGGTTGAGGCGGGGGAGGATCATCTGAGGTCAGGAGTTTGAGATCAGCCTGACCAACATGGATAAACCCCATCTCTGCTAAAACTACAAAATTAGCTGTGCCTGGTGGTGCATGGCTGTAATTCCAGCTAGTCAGGAGGCTGAGGCAGGAGAATTGCTTGAACCCGGGAGTCGAAGGTTGCAATGAGCCAAGATCACACCACTGCACTCCAGCCTGGGCAACAAGAGCAAAACTTTGTCTTTAAAAAAAAAAAAAAAAAAAAAATAGGGGCCGGGTGTGGTGGCTCACGCCTATAATCCCAGCACTTTGAGAGGCCGAAGCGGGTGGATCACGAGGTCAAGAGATCAAGACCATCTTGGTAACAAGGTGAAACCCCGCCTCTACTAAAAATACAAAAATTAGTGGGGCGTGGTGGTGCACGCCTGTAGTCCCAACTACTCAGGAGGCTGAGGCAGGAGAATTGCTTGAACCCAGGAGGTGGAGGTTGCGGTGAGCCGAGATCGTGCCATTGCACTCCAGCCTGGGTAACAACAGCGAAACTCTGCCTCAAAAACAAACAAACAAACAAACAAAAATGGCCAGGAGCGGTGGCTCATGCCTCCATTTCTAGCATTTTGGGAGGCCACAGTGGGTGGATCACCTGAGGTCCGGAGCTCCGCCTCACCAACATGGTGAAACCTCGTCTGTACTATAAATACAAAAATTAGCTGGGCATGGTGGCGGGTGCCTGTAATCCCAGCTACGTGGAAGGCTGAGGCAGGACAGTTGATTGAACCCGGGAGGCGAAGGTTGCAGTGAGCTGAGATCAAGCCATTGCACTCTAGCCTGGGCAATAGAGTGAGGCCCTGTCTCAAACAAAAAACAAGAAAAAGTCATTTTGCATCTTCATGTAGTCTTCCCATGTGATCCTTCTTGTTCTTCAGATCTATGGGAGTCGTCAGATTATACTGGAGAAAGAGGAAACAGAAGAGCTAAAACGATTTGATGATCCAGGTTTGATGCTCATGGGCTTCAAGCCCTTGGTAATGTTGAAGAAGCACCATTACCTGAGACCCTCCCTGTTCGTGTACCCAGAGGAGTCTCTGGTGATTGGTAAGTGGTGTGGATCACGGATGAGTGACTCTAACATACAATGCAGTTTATGGAGGAGCATTTTGTAAATGGGCACTGCTTGGACACTATGGGAGATGTTAATGGAGTATGTTGAAAGTGTTTCAAGCGCTGCTGGGCACAGTGTCCCACACTTGTAATCCTAGTACTTCGGGAGGCCCAGGCGGGTGGATCTAGGAGTTCAGGACCAGGCTGGCCAACATGATGAAACCCTTGTCTCCACTAAAAATACAAAATTATTATTATTTTTTTTTTAAGAGATGGAGTTTCGCTCTTGTTACCCAGGCTGGAGTGCAATGGCGCGATCTCGGCTCACCGCAACCTCCGCCTCCTGGGTTCAGGCAATTCTCCTGCCTCAGCCTCCTAAGTAGCTCGGATTACAGGCATGTGCCACCATGCCCAGCTACTTTTTTTTTTTTGTATTTTTAGTAGAGACGGGGTTTCACCATATTGACCAGGACGGTCTCGATCTCTTGACCTCGTGATCCACCCGCCTCGGCCTCCCAAAGTGCTGGGATTACAGGCTTGAGCCACCGCGCCCGGCCTAAAAATACAAAATTTAGCCAGGCCCAGTGGCTTACGCCTGTGATCCCAACTACCTGGGAGGCTGAGGCACGAGAATTGCTGGAACCTGGGAGACAGAGGTTGCAGTAAGCTGAGATCATGCCACTGCACTCCAGCCTGGGCAATAGAGTGAGACTCTGTCTCAAAAAGGGGGAAAAAAAAAAGTGTTTCAGCTGGGCGTGGTGGCTCCTGCTTGTAATCCCAGCACTTTGGGAGGCCAAGGTGGGTGGATCACAAGGTCAGCAGTTAAAGACCAGCCTGGCCAAGATGGTGAAACTCCATCTCTACTAAAAATAGAAAAAAATTAGCCAGGCATGGTGGCGGGTGCCTGCAATCCCAAGTACTCAGGAGATTGAGACAGATAATTGCTTTAACCCAGGAGGCAGAGGTTGCAGTGAGCCGAGATTGTGCCACTGCATGATCTATAAGCGTGAGCCACCTAACCTGGCCAGTAATTCACTTTCTTGAGTGTTTGGAGCTTCTAAACCTCTTACTCCTTTTTAAAATTTTCCTTTCTATGTCTCTCCTGCCCCCATTTTCCCCTCAGCTCTGGGTCCCTCAACTTGTACCTATTGAGATATTATAAGCCCTTTAAAGGCTTGGCATGTTGGCTCATGCCTATCCCAACATTTTGGGAGGCTGAGGCTGGAGGATCAGTTGAGCCCAGGAGTTGAAGACCAGAGTGGACAACTTAGAGAGACCTTGTCTCTACAAAAAAAGTCTTAAAACTAGCTGGGTGTGGTGGTGCATTGACTGTAGTCACAGCTACTCGGGAGGCAGAGTTGGGAAGACTGCTTGAGCCTGGGAGGTCAAGACTGCAGTGAGTTGTAATTGCAGCACTGCATTGCAGCCTGGGTGACAGAGTGAGACTCTGTCTCAAATAAATAAATAATAAAATTAAAATAAGCCCTTTAAGGAAAGTGGTAGAGAAACTGTAGGGCTAAAAGAGGAGAAAGGAAGAAACCTTTTTAGGAGGCTGGTCATTGTGCTCTTTGTTTTCCAGGGAGCTCAACCCTGTTCAGTGCTCTGCTCATCAAGTGTCTGGAGAAGGAGGTCGCAGCATTATGCAGATACACACCCCGAAGGAACATCCCCCCTTATTTTGTGGCTTTGGTGCCACAGGATGAGGAGTTGGATGATCAGAAAATTCAGGTTACTCCTCCAGGTATGTGGCAGAGTTATTTCCAGGGCTTCTGAGCCTTGCCCATACTTTGGAATCATCCATGGGCTTCTAATGCAGACCTACTGAATCATAGTCTCTGGGAGTGGTGCTTAAAAATGTCTATTTTTAACGTTTAAAGTCAGATTTAACTTTATCTTATGCTTATGTGACTAGAAGCTTGCTTGCTTTTGTTTTGGGCCCGTATCTGCTACTTGTTAGCTGGTCAACGTGGGCAAGTAGTTTAACCTTTCTATTTAATGTGTCTTAGCTACAAATATGAGCGTTTTGGAGCACCTTTCCCTCAGAGTGGTTCTATACTTGAGATGAATTACTGTAGTTTTAACTTTGATCCTCAGCATGCTCAGGAGTGCTTAGTTCCTAAGCTGTTGTCTGGGCTCCAAATTCACCCTTTTATGCTCTGTACCACTGAGGCTGAGATGATCCAAGCCTCATTTCTTCTTTCACTGCTGGCTCTCAGGCCGTGTCTATAGTGGGTGCTAGAGGGGACACCAAAGGTAAGAAGAGAGGTAAGGGACTTGCTCCTTCCTGTTTGTTCAGTGCGGTCAGCATTGCCAGGAGAGCCTTTCACTTGGTAACAGCAGTTAGTTACAGGGCCTAGATTTTTTAGTCCTTCCAGAACCAGCCAGTAACTGAACTAAGATCAGCCTGATAACTCTTACCTGTTTGCTTTTATTTATCATATGGTAGAGGGTAAGGAAAAAAGGGATGAGGAGGAAGCTCAGAGGAGGTCCCGGTGGAGCTGGGACTTAGCCCTCCAGGGAGGAGGCACTGTCTAGCTGTCTCTGGATGTTTCAAAAAAGCTGGGAACCAGAAACAACTGCTGCCATGTACAGGGTCTTTGCTGGGGGCAGTACAGACAGGAACAGTAAATACAGGAGGGCCCCAAACACAGCTTTGCTTTCTGCAGTTTCAGTTACCCATAATCAACCATGGTCCAAACATTTTTAATGGAAAGTTCCAGAAATAAAAGCACCATCCCACCTGGGACAGGAATCATCCGTTCAGCATCTCCACACTGTAAATGCTACCCACCCGTTAGTCACTTAGTAGCCGTCTTCGTTATCAGATTGACTGTCAAGAGAATTGCTTGAACCTGGGAGGTTGCAGCGAGCCAAGATTGCTCGACTGTACTCCAGCCTAGGTGACAAGAGCGAAACTCTATCTAAAAAAAAGATGAAAAAGACATTAAATATTAAATTTATGTGTGTTAAGACATGGACAGAAATGTGTTTTAGTTGACAGCAGTCAGGCTTGGTGCTATCCGAGGTTTCAGGTATCCTCCAGGGTTCTTGAAACATATCCCCCAGGTATAATTGGTCTACTGTATACAGGAAGGGGCACCCTTCCTCCCTTGCAGTCCTCTGGAAACTCCAGAGGGAGTCTATTAGGCAGATGATAACAAGAAACAGCTGGTGAAGGAGAAATGGGGTCTACAGGGCCCCAGCCCCAGCACCACAGGACATAGAAGGGTGAATTTGGAGCTAAGAAACAAGTGACTGCAACACTTGAAGTCAAATCACAGAAAAGTTATCTCCCTTCTACAGGCTTTCAGCTGGTCTTTTTACCATTTGCTGATGATAAAAGGAAGATGCCCTTTACTGAAAAAATCATGGCAACTCCAGAGCAGGTGGACAAGATGAAGGCTATTGTTGAGAAGCTCCGCTTCACATACAGGTAAGTGAATCTCAGACTTTGTTCTGGAACTGCCTTCTGAGTTGAGAGTCTTATTAGGTATTCAGCTTGGGCATAGACCAAAAGAATGGCACTATTCTTTTCAGCAAACTGACAGATATTAACAGTGTTTGAAAGCCATATACAGGCCGGGCGCAGTGGCTCAAGCCTGTAATCCCAGGACTTTGGGAGGCCGAGGTGGGTGGATCACGAGGTCAAGAGATCGAGACCCTCCTGGTCAACATGGTGAAACCCCGTCTCTACTAAAAATACAAAGAATTAGGCTGGGCGCGGTGGCTCAAGCCTGTAATCCCAGCACTTTGGGAGGCCGAGGCGGGTGGATCACGAGGTCAAGAGATCGAGACCATCCTAGTCAACATGGTGAAACCCCGTTTCTACTAAAAATACAAAAAATTAGCTGGGCATGGTGGCACGTGCCTGTAATCCCAGCTACTCAGGAGGCTGAGGCAGGAGAATTGCCTGAGCCCAGGAGGCGGAGGTTGCGGTGAGCTGAGATCGCGCCATTGCACTCCAGCCTGGGTAACAAGAGCGAAACTCCGTCTCAAAAAAAAAAAAAAAAAAAAAAAAAGCCATATACAGAGTGGAAGCTCTTACTGTATTTGAGACTCGGATTGTGTGCTTGATGTGTTGTACTGTACTTAGCCAGATTAGTTGGTCAAACATGTTAAAAAAAAAAAAAAATTGCAGGAAAATTCTTAGTCTGGCTGCTCCTTGATTGTATTTGTTGTTCTACAATGAGCAAGAGTAAATAAATCTAATGTAAATCGTTACAGGCTTAAAAGAATGATTAATTCAAGTCATTCTTTCTCATATGTATAATAGACCTGTTCTGAGAGCCTGCATAATGGGACACTAAACATAATTTTTTTCACATGCCATTTAAAAAAAAATTTTATTTTAATTATATTATTTTGAGATAAGGTCTCTGTCATCCAGGGTCTCTGACATCCAGGTTGGAGTGCAGTGGTATCATTGTAGCTTGTTTGCAGCCTTGACCTCCCTGGGCTCAGGTGATTCTCCCACCTCAGCCTCTGGAGTAGCTGGGACCATAGCCTTGCGTCACCATACCTGGTAAATTTTTGTATTTTTTGTAGAGATGGGGTTTCACCATGTTGCCCAGGCTGGTCTCAAACTTCTGAGCTCAAGCCATTCACCTGCCTCAGTTTCTCAAAGTGCTGGGTTATGGGCATGAGCCAGCATGCCCAGCCAGGTTTACTTTTTAAGTTGACTTGAGATAAAGTCTTGTTCTGCCATCCAGGCTGGAGTGCAGTGGCATGATCATGGCTCACTGCAGCCTCGATATCCTGGACTCAAGCAGTCTTCCTACCTAAGCCTCCTGAGTAGCTGGGACCACAGGCATGCATCACCATGCTTGGCTAATTTTTAAATTTTTTGTAGAGACAGGGTTTCAACATGTTGCCCAGGCTGGTCTCAAACTGCTGGACTCAAGCATTCTGCCTACCTTAGCCTACCAAAGTGCTGGGATTATAGGCATGAACCACTGCACCTGACCTCAACTGTTTCACCTGGGGTGTTTTTCTCAGCTCACTACAGACCTCTGATATCACAGGCGGTTTTATTTATTCTTATTTTTTCAACGTTTAAATTGTCATGTTTCAATTGAGTAACATTATTGTTTTAACAGAAGTGACAGCTTTGAGAACCCCGTGCTGCAGCAGCACTTCAGGAACCTGGAGGCTTTGGCCTTGGATTTGATGGAGCCTGAACAAGCAGTGGACCTGACATGTAAGGAGTCGAGTAGTTCTTTTAATGGGAGGCTTTCTTACTGGTTCCATTCTGAACCAGTAATGTGGGTGCATTTCCTAGTACTCTCTAAAAACTTAACCTCATTGCCCAGACCCCCTCTGTCTGGGAGCTTTTCTAGACCAGCTTAAACAGCCAGGGAACAGATTTGGCTGGTTCCATAGTGAGAGGAGGAGAGGGCCAGGCTCCTGAGACCTGACTCTGAACTAGGCTACCCTGTGACTACATGCTGGTGAAAATTAATATAAGAGGCTGGATGCAGTGGCTCAAGTCTGTAATCCCAACACTTTGGGAGGCTGAGGTGGGTGGATCATGAGGTTAAGTTCAAGACCAGCCTGGCTAACATAGTGAAACCTCGTCTCTACTAAAAATACAAAAATTAGCTGACAATGGTGGTGTGTGCCTGTGTTCCCAGCTACTCAGAGGAGGCTGAGGCAGGAGAATTGCTGGAACCTGGGAGACACAGGTTGCAGTGAGCTCAGATTGAGCCACTGCACTCCAGCCTGGGTGACAGAGTGGGACTCTGTCTCTAAATAAAATAAAGAAGAGGTCAGGCACGGTGGCTCATGCCTATAATCCTAGCACTTCAGGAGGCTGAGATGGGCAGATCACGACGTCAAGAAATGGAGACCATCCTGGCCAACATGGTGAAACCCCATATCTATTAAAAATACAAAAAAGGAGCTGGGTATGGTGACACGTACCTGTAGTCCCAGCTACTCAGGAGGCTGATGCAGGAGGATTGGTTGAACCCAGGAAGCAGAGGTTGCAGTGAACCTAGATCCCGCTACTGCACTACAGCCTATCGACAGAGCAAGACTCTCTCAAAAAAACAAAAAAAACCCAAAAATATAAGAGGAAGTGAGTGGTGGATTTGGGTTTAGAATCATGTGACTCCTGGCTGGGCGCAGTGGCTCACGCCTGTAATCCCAGTACTTTGGGAGGCCAAGGCAGGAGGATCACCTGAGGTCAAGAGTTCAAGACCAGCCTGGCCAAAGTGGGGAAATTCTGTCTCTACTAAAAATACAAAAACAGTTAGTGGGGCATGGTGGTGCGTGCCTGTAGACCCAGCTGCTTGGAAGACTGAGGCATGAGAATTGTTTGAACCCAGGAGACAGAGATTGCAGTGAGCCGAGATCACGCCACTGCACTCTAGCCTTGGCAACAGAATGAGACACTCTTAAAAAAAAAAAATCCGCCGGGCGCGGTGGCTCAAGCCTGTAATCCCAGCACTTTGGGAGGCCGAGGCGGGTGGATCACGAGGTCAAGAGATCGAGACCATCCTGGTCAACATGGTGAAACCCCGTCTCTACTAAAAATACTAAAAATTAGCTGGGCATGGTAGCGTGTGCCTGTAATCCCAGCTACTCAGGAGGCTGAGGCAGGAGAATTGCCTGAACCCAGGAGGCGGAGGTTGCGGTGAGCCGAGATCGTGCCATTGCACTCCAGCCTGGGTAACAAGAGCGAAACTCGTCTCAAAAAAAAACAAACAAACAAACAAAAAAAAACAAAAATTAGGCCGGGCGCGGTGGCTCAAGCCTGTAATCCCAGCACTTTGGGAGGCCGAGGCGGGTGGATCACGAGGTCAAGAGATTGAGACCAGCCTGGTCAACATGGTGAAACCCCGTCTCTACTAAAAATACAAAAAATCAGCTGGGCATGGTGGCGCGTGCCTGTAATCCCAGCTACTCAGGAGGCTGAGGCAGGAGAATTGACTGAACCCAGGAGGCGGAGGTTGCGGTGAGCCAAGATCGCGCCATTGCACTCCAGCCTGGGTAACAAGAGCAAAAACTCCGTCTCGGAAAAAAAAAAAAAAAAAGAAAAGAAAAAATCTAGTGACTCCTACCCAGAGCTGAGCTGTAGCTCTGAGCAACTGTCCTTAAGGCCTTTCCATCACATTCTGCTGCTCTGCACTGAGAAAAGCAGCCTTGTTACCCAGCATCAAGGAGCATTGCCTGGCCTCCCAGGGTGGGCTTCTGTGACCTTAATGCTATTCCCCTTCTTGACTGACTCTCTTAGGTATTTCCCAAGAGGACACAGGAAGTTTAGTGGTATAAATATATGTCCACTGAGGAACAGATTGGATTTATTGAAGATTTTTTTGAGACAGGGTCTCGCTGTGTTCCCCAGGCTGGAGTGCAGTGGCGTGATCTCAGCTTACTACAACATCTGCCTCCTGGGTTCAAGCTATTCTTGAGCCTCTGTCTGCTGAGTAGCTAGTCCACAGCTAGCTAAGTTTTTTTTTTTTTTTTTTTTTTGAGACGGAGTTTCGCTCTTGTTACCCAGGCTGGAGTGCAATGGCACGATCTCGGCTCACCGCAACCTCCGCCTCCTGGGTTCAGGCAGTTCTCCTGCCTCAGCCTCCTGAGTAGCTGGGATTATAGGCATGCGCCACCATGCCCAGCTAATTTTTTTTTGTATTTTTGGTAGAGACGGGGTTTCACCATGTTGACCAGGTTGGTCTCAATCTCTCGACCTTGTGATCCACCCGCCTCGGCCTCCCAAAGTGCTGGGATTACAGGCTTCAGCCACCGCGCCTGGCCTTGCCAGCTAAGTTTTATATTTTTAGTAGAGACAGGGTTTTGCCATGATGGCCTGGCTGGTCTCAGAACGATCTCTTTTATATTAGATAAAATAGCCTCAATATTAAAAGTGGAAGAGTTATTGGACCCTTGTTACTGTGGTGCCTGCTTAGCTGTGTCCATGTTTTGAGTTAAACAGCCCATCACCTCCTTTTAGGCCTTAGGCAAATTTGGAGTCAGTGGCCTAGTGCCTAGCAAGGTAGTTTAGGACACAGGCTTTGGAGGTGACTGATGTCTATTTGAATCTCAGCTCTGCTACTTACTAAATTTAGTGGCTTTGGGAATATTACTTAATCCCTCTGAGACTTGGTTTTCTTTTTGGTAAAATATGGATAATACTGTTCTTACAAGATGTTAACAAAATATAGGCCTTAACACTCAGTAAGTGCTCAGAACACAGCCATTCTCCTTAGTCCACAGCTATTCCATTCCTTAGTTCAGCTATTCCAGTTGAACTAGGGTCTCAACTTCTTATATTCCGGCATTTAGCCCTATAATTTCATGGAAAGTCCTGTTTTCTCTTCCTACCTCTATTTTCAAAACAGTTGGTCTGGCTGCCTTAATTTTTTTTTTTTTTTTTTTTTTTTGAGATGGGGTCTTACTCTTGCCCAGGCTGGAGTGTAGTGGTATGATCTCAACTCACTGTAACCTCCGCCCTCCGGGTTCAAGCAGTTCTCCTGCTTCAGCCTCCCGAGTAGCTGGAATTACAAGTGCCTGTCACCACACCCAGCTAATTTTTGTATTTTTAATAGAGATGGGGCTTCACCATGTTGGCCAGGCTAGTCTCAAACTCCTGACCTCAAGTCATCCACCCACCATGGCTTTCCAAAGTGCTGGGATTATAGGCATGAGCCACTGCGCCCAGCCTCTCAGTACTTTCAGAACTCTCGAGGTGAGGGCTGGATGTGGTGGCTTATGTCTGTAATCCCAGCACTTTGGGAGGCTGAGGCAGGCAGATCACGAGGTCAGGAGTTTGAGACCAGCCTGACCAACATGGTGAAACCCTGTCTCTACTAAAAATACAAAAATTAGCTGGGTGTGGTGGTGTGTGCCTGTAATCCAGCTACTTGGAGCCTGAGGCAGGAGAATCCCTTGATCTTGGGAGGCAGAGGTTGCAGTGAGCTGAGATCATGCCACTGCACTGCAGTCTGAGCAACAGAGTGAGACTCCCATCTCAAAAACAACAACAACAACAAAAAAAACACTCCGCAGTTGATTCCCAAGGTGGGAGCCAGTGCTCTTGCAGAGGTTCCTGTGTTGTGGAACAGGGGCTTGTTACGTAGCAGGAGCACAGTTTGGCTCCAGCATTCTGCCATCTTCTAGGTACACCAGCAAGAGCTCCCCTCTGTGATTGGCACATATGGGCATGTTAGCTGCCCATCTCATCACCCTTGCCTTTGATGTGACAGCTCATGTCAAAAGCTTGACTAACAATATAGTTGTAAGCTAACAAAAAAAGGAAACAAAAATATCTTTCCTCCAAAGTTGCCTTTTCCTGTCATATTTGCTCCTCCTGTTTCAGCCAGTCATCTCCCCATCCCTGCTCCTATTATTTCTTTCTTTCTGGTATCTAGCCCTATAATTTCAGTAAATAATAAATGCTCTTCTATCAGTTAAGTCCTGCCAGTTCTGTCACTTCTCATATTTATGGGTCCTCCCACCTGTGCCCCACTTCACCCATCTCTCTTACCCATGGAGTTCACACTCCACACAGCTATCGTGGTTCTTTGGATAAGGCCTAATTCCTTGGCAGGCATCCAAGCTTCCATGACCTCGCCATGCCCACCTTTCTCACCTTCCTGCTGGCCCTGTCCTTAACACCCTACCTTCCAGCTATACATCACCTGCTGTTTCCTCCTGCTTATCTTTCATGACCCCTCCTGTGTTCCAGTGTGCCTGTACAGTTGCTTCTTGCATGTTCTTGCCCAACTCTACTGCATCATTTTTATCCACCTCTTCACTCTCACTGGGCTTTAAGCTGACCGCAGGCATGAGCTCTTGTTTGAATTCCCAGAAACTAGCTTAGTATTTCCACTGTACCACACCCCCTCAGGCAAGTCATGTAACCTCTCTCCTTTCCTCACCTGTAGAACTGGAGATAAATCAGGAGGCTGAGGCAGGAGAATCGTTTGAACCAGGAAGTTGGGGGTTGCAGTGAGCTGAGATCACACCACTGCACTCCAGCCTGGCAACAAAGCAAGACTCCATGTTAAAAAAACAAACAAACAAAAAACACTGGGGACAAATGTACCTATCCTATAGGTTGTTAGAAGGAGTAAAGAGAGTAAATTTGAAACATTTACAATAGTCCCTGGCGGTAGTATGTGTGATTACAGTAAATGTGTGTGTTAGAAGGTACTTGGTAAATGCTGCAAAGACCTTTCCCTGGACCCCTCCTACCCCAGCAGTTAGGTGCTCTCTCTTCTGGTTCTCAGAAAGTTGGAACTATACGGCAAGCTGGGGCTCATGACTCACTAGGCCACTCTTCTGTGTTTTGATTTTCTAGTGCCCAAGGTTGAAGCAATGAATAAAAGACTGGGTTCCCTGGTGGATGAATTTAAGGAGCTTGTTTACCCACCAGATTACAATCCTGAAGGGAAAGTTACCAAGAGAAAACACGGTGAGGAGCTGAATGTGGATATATGGGCTATTTTTAAAACTTGCTTTTATGATGGTATTATCACAGTGGGCAGTATTCTTTCAGAAATAACCTATTCACACTCCAGTGAGAATGGCTTTTATCCAAAAGACAGGCAATAACAAATGCTGGCAAGGATGTGGAGAAGAGGGAACCCTCATGCACTGTTGGTGGGAATGTAAATTAGTACAGCCACTATTAAGGAGAATAGTTTGGAGATTCCTCGAAAAGTGAAAAGTAGAGCTACCATATATATGATCCAGCAACCCCGCTGCTGGGTATGCACCCAGAAGAAAGGAAATCAGTATATCGAAGATACATGTGCACTCCCATGTTTATTGCAGCACCATTCACAATAGCCAAGATTTGGAAGCAACCTGTGTCCATCAGCAGATGACTAGATAAAGAAAATGTGGTACACATACACAATGGAGTATTCAGCCGTAAAAAAAAAATGAGATCCTGTCGTTTGCAATAATATGTTAAGTAAACCAGGCTCAGAAAGACAGACATTTGCATGTTCCCACTTACTTGTGGAATCTAAAAATGGGAACAATTGAACTCATGGAGATAGATAGAGCATAGAAGGATAGTTACCAGAGGCTGAGAAGCATAGTGGAGCATTGAGGGGAGGTGGAGATGGTTAATGGGTACAAAAATACTGAGTAAGATCTGTTTGATAACAGACTATACTCAATAATAATTTAATTGTACATTTTAAAATAACTAAACAAATATAATTGGAATGTTTGTAGCACAAAAGAGAAATGCTTGAGGGGACAGATACCCCACTTACGCTGATGTGATTATTTTACATTGCATGCCTGAATCAGAATACCTCATGCACCATGTAAACTGATGGCATTCACACTGCTTGTAACTCCCTCCTGGGTGTGATATATGTTCTAGGCTGGCATCACGGCTTCATGGAAAATGGTTAATTGCAGCCCAGATTATATGATGGTCCCATTCCATGTAGCTAGGATGCCACTTGTAGCATTTCCGGTCACTCCCTCTGACCTTTCCCCCAGATAATGAAGGTTCTGGAAGCAAAAGGCCCAAGGTGGAGTATTCAGAAGAAGAGCTGAAGACCCACATCAGCAAGGGCACACTTGGCAAGTTCACTGTGCCCATGCTGAAAGAGGCTTGCCGGGCATATGGGCTGAAGAGTGGGCTGAAGAAGCAGGAGCTGCTGGAAGCCCTCACCAAGCACTTCCAGGACTGACCAGAGGCCGCGCACCCAGCCGTCCTTCCACAGTGTGGCCAGGCTGCCTGGCCTTGTTCTCAGCCAGTTAAAATGTGTTTCTCCTGAGCTAGAAAGAGTCTACCCGACAGAAGTCGAGGGACTTTATGTTTTTGAGGCTTTCTGTTGCCATGGTGATGGTGTAGCCCTCCCACTTTGCTGTTCCTTACTTTACTGCCTGAATAAAGAGCCCTAAGTTTGTACTAGATACTGTTCTTTCGTGTGGAGAAAAGTGTGTCTACCTTACTCCAAAAACTCACTGGCCATCACTGTTAGCTTAATTTTCTCTTTCATTGGGAACACTCTTCACCACAATGAAAACAAAACGTGTCAGCGGGGAGGGTGAGAGTGTGACAGGTCAGGGCAGGTGAAGATATTTCAGGAGTAAGAAGCCCTAGCAGGATTATATTATCCTTATCGTAGTCCTCACCTGTTTTTCTTTAAGTGTGTCAAGGTGTAAAAATCAGATTTCCAAAGCAATAAGAAGTTAACACTTTCAGTTCTGGGACCATTTGCTTCATGAATAAACAACTCCCTCTTGTTGCATTCCTCTTAATGCGACATTAAATTATGCAAAAATATACCCATTTTCTGTTGCCCTGAGAATTTGAGTTCCAGAATAAGTAAAATGAAGAGTTATTCCCCTTGTGTTTCAGGGGAACTATAGGAAGTTCAAGAAGATGAGGAGAGGTTCTAGTATTTAAAGAAGGGAAAGAGGACAGGAGTGTCTTTTCCCTTTTCTTCCTCTATGTCCCTGCTGTCCTCCCTGCTCCTTTCCTGCTCATTCTGCTGCCACTATTTTTGAAGGATTAGCCTGAAGGAAGGAGAGCATCTGGAATTACTGGTCTCTGAGGATGTGAGAGTAAGGGTTTGCAGGTCCTGTGTACTTGCGGATGAATGAGCAGCACCTAATGAAGAAGAGACTAAGAGAGTCCAAATTACTCTTCTAAAAGGTTTTCAGTTCTGGATTCTTTGCTCTAAGCTTTATAGGTTTTTGTGGGGTTTTTTTTTAACCTGTTTTTGCTTTTGTTTCTCTTTGAAAGGAGATACTGTATTTTTTTGGATTTCCTTACTTGTCTGGGCAAGAGGGGAAGAAAATTCTCCCGTTAGATGCTTAGAATTTATGTTGAGAATGGCCGGGCAGGGTGGCTCACGCCTGTAATCCCAACACTTGGGAGGCTGAGGCCGGTGGATCATGAGGTCAAGAGATCGAGACCATCCTGGTCAACATGGTGAAACCCTGCCTCTACTAAAAATACAAAAATTAGCTGGGCATGGTGGCGCGTGCCTGTTAATTCCAGCTACTCAGGAGGCTGAGGCAGGAGAATTGCCTGAACCCAGGAGGCGGAGGTTGCAGTGAGCCGAGATTGCGCCATTGCACTCCAGCCTGGGTAACGAGCAAAACTCAGTCTCAAAAAAAAAAAAATTACTGTTGAGAAATTGGACCACTCCCCTTAAATGAAGCAAGTTTGGAAACGATCTACTGTATAGGGATTTAATCTACCAAGATAGATTGGAATCACACTGGTCAGCCAGTCACTTGGAGTAAGAGGGTAAAGAGTAGCCTCATTGAGCCCTTGGTATCCAACCCTGGCTTCTGAAGCTAGTGAAGAGCAGCCCTGTAGTGAGCTCCAGGTTGGCTTTGCTGTGCAAAGTACATAGTTACTCCTCAGTAACCATGCCCAACTCTAGGCTCCTTCGCCTCCTGCTTCCAAAATGGAGAGAATGAGAGTTCAGGGGTCAAACACCTACCAGAGCCAGGCAGGTATGTGAATGTTAGACAAATCACCTGAGGTCTGTGATAAACAGCAGCAGAATGAGATATTTCTCTAAATGAATGATGCCTTCTTTGCCTGCTGAGTCCCCCCACCCAGGAGAGAAGTACCATGTTCAGGTGGAATTGGTTAGGCCTTTGGAAGCTTACGAGGCCGATTTAGCAAATTTACATCTTAGCGTCATCATATATACAAGTGACCTAGGGTATTTATGAGGCATTTTTGAGCCTTAGCTATCATGTTCCTATCATAACGCCACAAAGTCAAAATGAGAAAACATGTAAAAAGACATGGCACTCGGTACAGTTGACCCTCTGCATCTGCGGGCTCCACATCCATGTACTCAAACAATGTGGATCAAAAATACTTGGGGAATAAATGGATGGCTGCATCTGTACTGAATATATACAGACTTTTTTTTTTTTTTTTTTTTTTTTTTTTTTTTTTTTGAGACCTAGTCTCACTCTTGTCGCCCAGGCTGGAGTGCAGTAGCATAATCTCAGCTCACTGCAACCTCTGCCTCCCAGGTTCAAGCAATTCTCTGCCTCAGCCTCCCGAGTAGCTGGGATTACAGGTGTGTGCCACCATGCCAAACTAATTTTTGTATTTTTAGTAGAGACGGGGGTTTCACCATGTTGGCCAGGCTGGTCTCGAACTCCTGACCTTAGGTGACCCACCTGCTTCGGCCTCCCAAAGTGTTGGGATTACAACCGTGAGCCACTGGGCCCAGCTGACTAATGACAAAATTAACCCTAGCCAGGCGTTCGAGATCAGCCCGGCCAACATGGTGAAACCCCGTCTCTACTAAAAATACAAAATTAGCCAGGTGTGGTGGCGGGAGCCTGTAATCCCAGGTACTCGGGAGGCTGAGGCAGAGAATTGCTTGAACCTCGGAGGCGGAAGTTGCAGTGAGCTGAGATCATTCCACTGCACTCCTGCCTGGCCAGCAGAGACCCGGTCTGAAAAATAAAAATAAAAAACTAGCCTGTTGTGGCGCGCGCCTGTTAAGTCCCAGCTACTCAGAAGGCCGAAGCAGGAGAAACGCTTTAACCCGGGAGGCGGAAGTTGCAGTGAGCCAAGATCGTATCACTGCACTCTAGCCTGGGAGACAGAGTGAGACTCCGTCTCAATCAATCAATCAATCAATCAATCATGCATATGGGAGGCTGTGCGTAGCTCATATGCAAATACTGTGCCATGTTACCTCAGGGACATGGGCAGCGTCGCATTTGGGTATCCGCTTGGAGGGCCGTCCGAGCTTAATTTCTACCGTGGCCATTGCGCTTCCATCCGCCTGGTGGCAACATAGCCGGCGCGGAGCGCGGATCTGGACCTGCGCATGCGCGCCACGGACGAGGCGGGCTGAGTTCCTGCGCCTGGGAGCCATTACCGGAAGGGTGTGGCGGCCTAAGCTCGGCTGCATCCGGGTTCCGGTGGCCGCCGCCGCAGCTCTGGAGCACAAATTCGTTTGGGCAAAACTTAAACGAACACACGGATGCACACGTCTGTTTACCTTTAGGTCAGGTGCAGAGGGAATGTCAGGAATGGCACTCGTCGAAAGCTGCAGTTACTTGGGAGGATGAGCCTTTTACCTCTCAGCGTGTCCCCTTCTGTAATGTCTTGTTTTAATGTCTTATTAAAAACCTGAAGAGGTGCTCGCTTCGGCAGCACATGAACTAAAATTGGAACGATACAGAAAAGATTAGCATGGCCCCTGCGCAAGGATGACACGCAAATTCGTGAAGAGTTCCATATTGAAAAACAAAAACAAAAAACCAGAAGAGGCCGGGCGTGGTGGCTCACATCTGTAATTCCAGCACTTTGGGAGGCCCAGGCAGGCGGGTCACCTGAGGTCAGCAGTTCGAGACTAGCCTGACCAACATGGCGAAACCCCGTCTCTACTAAAAATACAAAAAAATTAGCCAGGCGTGACGGCGGGCGGCTGTAATCCAGCTACTCAGGAGGCTGAGGCATGGGAATCGCTTGAACCCGGCTGTCAGAGGTTACAGTGAGCCGAGATCGCACCACGGCACTCCAGCCTGGGTGACAGGGTGAGACTCCGAGACTCCATCTCAAAAAGAAAACAAACAAAAAACTGAAGAAAGGCAAAGTAGGACCACAAGCTCTGAGGGAGATTTGTCATCACTTTCTCTCTCTGCCCACTATCCAGAAATTCTATCCTCATGAGAATACCTATTAGAAGAGGAAACATACCCCTGTTACACTGTATTCAGCCTTTCTTGTTTGAGCCACACTGGCCCTGCCTGTAATGATCCTGCTGCAACATTGTCTGCATCATGTATGAAAGCGAATCCTACATGGATTTCTATCTTCTGGGGACTCATGCAGCTCATGGCCATGACCACAATTCTGGTGTGCTCGCTGCCCTGCAATTTTAGCAGGACCATCTTTATTATTTTATTTATTTCTGACTACAAAGATCCAGAATAGAAACATGACCATTTCTTTGCTTTTTTTTTCCCCCCTGGGATGGAGTCTTGCTGGAGTGCAGTGGTAACGATCTCGGCTCACTGCAACCTCCGCCTCCTGGGTTCAAGTGGTTCTCCAGCTGGGATTATGTGCTGGATCTCCAGCTTAATCTCCATGTGCCTGGCCCAAACATGACTATTTTTGTTACTGCTTCGATAAGGTGACCCCACCCCTTCATCACTGCCCAGCCCCCTCCTCCCCCCTTAGTTATCTATGGCTGTGTAACAAATTACCCTCAGGAACTACTGTCTTAAAACAATAAACATTCCTCTCCTACCTGAAAGCTCCAGTGAGGCTAGAGGATCCATTTGCTGCGAGGCTGTAATGAGCATGCTTCCAATTTTCTCTGTCTTATGTTTTTACGTCTTGGGGGGGCCTTCCAGGGCTAGCTTATTCCTAGAGACACTTACCGCATATTTTGCAAGAATACCTCTCATCCACGCCAGCCAACTCCTTCACCTTTCACACACCAAGCCATTATTCCCCTTGTACTAAATCACCCCAGGACCAGGTGCCAGGCAACTAGAGACCACCCTATAGCCCAAAGCCCACTGGAATGAATCAAACTAGCCAATCCTAAATCGTTTATTCTGCCCTGCCTTTCCTGAGGAAACTCTGATAAAGGCTGTGGCCCTTGGTCTAATTCTGCCTCCTCAACAAAGCCTGGTTTCTCCCGTGGTCCTGTGTGGTAAGGAATGTCCCTTCTCTTGGGAAACGTTATACATTCTGGCCAGGCGTGGTGGCTCATGCCTGTTATCCCGGCATTTTGGGAGGCTGAGTCGGGGGATCACAAGGTCAGGAGATTAAGAGCATCCTGGCTAACATGGTGAAACCGTCTCTACTAAAAATACAAAAAATTAGCCCGGCATGGTGACACGCACCTGTAGTCCTAGATACTCGGGAGGCTGAGGCAGGAGAATAGCTTGAACCCAGGAGGTAAATG